CTGCAGGGAGCGGGACCGCCTCCAAGAGCTTTCGCCGCTGACGTCGGAGAATAAATCATGACTTTACTCGTTGAAGGTATTGACATACCACCGGAGGAGCCGGTATTGCCACCGAATGCGCCGATGCTGGATCCCGACTTCGGAGAAGAAGACATCACCTTAAGACTAAATACGACAACGAAGAAAAAATCAAAAAGAATTACCTAGGCAAGAAGATCAGTCAGATATTTCTCTCTCGCTCCCCAAAAATTCAGATGCTCAAAATCGCAAAGTAGAAATAAATCCACAAATCCGCTAAGGGTTTGTATTTGTATGGGTAGTCATCCAACAGGAAGCGACATACGTCCGAAAGTTTAAAGTTTGAATTCGCCCAGCGGAGATAACGACTAGCGGTTAGGAGACATGATTTTTCGGAGCTCCAGTAGGATAGCGCCACGTATCCGCCACGAGTCTTGCAATTAAGGGGGACAGCTTTTCGTAACCAACAGGAAAGTAACGGCCATACCGCATTTAAGGCACGTCGCTTCGGCTGACGTCATTAATACCCGCTGGAATTTTTAAAATACGCCCAAGTATGGCGAAGGTGCCAACCTCGTAAATGAGCCGCATAAGGCAGGAATCGGGCAGTTCTGGATTCTTGCAAGCGATGACCTCGGATGCGACGCCTCGGACCTCACCTTTGAGCTCAGGGGCCTGTATGTTGATATCCTGATCGGCCCAACTAGAAATAACCGGTTCGATCGTCAAAACAGGGAAGAGCCGCCCCCAGGGTTAGAACCGGGCAAAGAGTCGACGGCAGGTGCCGAGCTGGTTAAAGACGAAAGTCGGTAGTGACGATGTTCCGCATAATTATTGAGACCTGTACTTATCGGACCCTCAAAGTGCCGAGCCGGTTAATGAATCCTGAAGACCCATAAAGGTTTTATTGTCCGAGTGCCGACCTGAGGGTCTGAAAAGGGACGATCCGGTCTGCTAAGGCGAGCAAATAAATTCGAAGATGAGGTTCAAATGCTCCAAGCTGATCTTGATGACCATGAAAAAGAGCAGATAAAATTATTATCAAAGATTGAAAAACTTGAGGAGAAATGAAATAAAGAAGATTTAGGGAGCAATGCTTGTTTGTGATACTTATTATTTCATGGGTTGTAATTTATTGGTTAATGTAGTTATTGGGACACTATGTTCACAAACATTGTGTCCAATGGGATGGCTTGTGGTTGGATATGCAATGTAATGTGGAGTGAATTCATGGTTTAGAATCATTGTTTTTAATGTAATGGATTGTGCTTTTGTATATGCGATGTGGAGTGAATTCTTGGTTTAGAATCATTGTGTTTTATGTAGTGGATTGTATTTTTGGATATGCGATGTAATGTGGAGTATTTGTGTTTAGAATCATTCTGTTCAATGTAATGATTTGTTCTTGGATGAAGTTCTTATTGTTCAATATGTATGTAATATGGAGTGAATTATTCTATTACAATCACTGTTACTAAGATTAACAAAATACATATTCAAGACTTCAATT